GAGCCTTTTGGTGATAACACTGCTTAAAAGCAAAAAGAGTTTATAGTTGTTTTTTTTTTTTTCCCCTTGACATGACCTGAGTTTTTACCTTCTAGAGGTGACAGGTGACAGACCTGTGGCTTCAGATGGAATCTGGACCAGGGGTCCGGAGATCCTGCGATTCTAAGCCTGAGTCTGCATGTCACCTAGCCCCTTACGTGGCCCAACCAGTTTTCCCATCTCTACTTGTAGAGCCATTTAAAAATTAATTAGGTGCCTGAGGCATTTATATGTCTATAAATAATTTCTCCCTCCCCACTGCCTTCTCTTTTTGGGAATCTTGTCAATTTACTGGAGATGATAAGATCTTGTCCTGCAAATACGGGTCTTTGTGTTAGAGATAAGTTTCTTTAAAACCTCTACGAAGGAAACGGTTGAGAGTGCAAGAGAAAATCTGAAATGAAGCCAGAAGGATGTGTACTTGTGCTGGCAGGAGGATGAAGGAAGATCAAAAACATTATCGTTTTCATTGTTTTAGTTATTTCAGGTATGTTTTACTATTTAGTCTTAGTCAACAGCAATGTTTATAATATCAAGCTGCATTGAATAAAATATGCAGATTTCACTAATTTTCATACTTGAGTCACAATACAGAATTCAAATTACCTGAGCGCTATTATTTTCATCACAGTACAGCTGACTATACCCTTACTATGGCATAACATCTTTATTTATTGGTTCATATAAGTCCAAGATATGCAGTCTCATACATAAATGGTCATTTCCAACATTCATTCATTCATTCATTCAGCTATTTACTGTGGAGGGACAGGCTTGGTTTGCTAGGCACAAAGAATATAAGGTGAACAAGACATGTGTTCTCTTAGATTCATTAACATCATACAACTTCCTGAGGTCTATAGGTCCTTATGAGATTGACTCTGCCCACTCTGTCACCTTTTCCCTTATTATTTTCCCCTTTTGTCTATCTTTTACAGCTACACTTCAGGTTCCTTGAAGACACCAAGCTATGGTTAACCCAGGGCCTTTGCACCTGTGGTCTCCTATTTTTAGAATGCTATTCCCCAGGTCTCTTCATTCAGGTCTTTGTTCAAATATCACTTCCTCAAAGACAATTCTATTTTAAGGCAAGTCTCTTCCTCCACTCTCCCTCCAGTCATCCCTCATCCTACTTTATTTTTCTGCAAAGCACTCACTGCTCAGCACCTGAACAATTTTATCTTTGCTTGTGTTTTATTTTCTGTCTCCCCGGTAGAGACTGGGCTGGAAGTTTGTCTTTTTAGCAATGTATCCCTAGGGGCTAGAACAACTTGGCATGTAACAGATATTTATAAGTATTTGGTGAATAAATGACTAGATGAACTGGTTCTTGATAGTTTAGGGTGTTTGATGAACCAGCTTTTTAGGAGGAATCATGATGGTCCCTGGTAGATTCACAGCCCCTACTCCTAAGCCTCCCACTCCTCCTCCTGCTGGGCTCTGTCTGTGAATGGCATCCTTGGCCATTTGGTGTCAAAGCCCTGCCATCACTTACTCCTCCCTCCGGCTAGCGCCTACATCCAATCAGTTACCAATTTCAGTGATGCTGTGGCCTCTCGCATCAACTCGTTTTTTGAACCATTCCTACAACCACCCCCAGTCCATACTCTCTGTATCTCACCTAAACCATTGTCATCATTTCCTACCCGGGCTTCCGGCCAACAGGCTCTCCTCACCCAATCTGTTCTCCATAGGGTAGCCAGAGTGAGTTTCATCATGTTAAGGTTTGATCATGTTTCTCCCTCACTCAAAAGCTAAAGACTGCCAACCCCTTAGCATGGCAGTCAGTGCCCCCTCCATCACCTCCATCCCCTTACCCAACCTTCTTTCTCAAGACTCTTGTTCTTTTTGCTCCAGTGAGAATAAACTGCTTTGCAGTTTCTGTATATATCCTAGAAGTCTCCCTTACCTGTCCATCCTCTGCTTATGCTGTTTCCACTCCTCGAAATAGTTTTCTTCCTTTCCTCTAAGTACAAATCATTCAGACCCAGTTTGAATGCTACTTGGCTTCCCCAAGAAGCTATTCCTAACCTGTGAGGAGAAGAAAATTCCTCTTTCTTCTCAACTGTTTTTAAGGGGTTATCTGCCTCTTTTTTAGGGCAAGTCTTGGGAAAGGACAGGCAATAATGACACAGAAGAAAGAGTTCAGAATCTGGAGTCAGATCATCTGAGCTGGAGGCCTAGCTCTCTGGATCTGAGACTTTCACGGTATGCACCCTTAGATAAGTGAAAATCCAAGTCTTAATTTCCCTATCTGTAAAATAGGGATAACACTGTTGATGTCACGGATGTGTTACGAGGAGTGAGTGACAGAGTATAGGAAAAGCTTTTGACACTATATACAAATTAATTCGGAAATTCTATCATGCTAACATATAAACATTGAATAAACAGTTGCTCCTCCCAGGGAGTTTTCATGGATGTTTTATGCTGGCTGAGCCCTAGGTCCAGGAATAGGTCAGTGGGGAAAGGATATTTTTGAGGGGGGAGGACTTTGAGGCTTTAAGAATCCCATGTGCTTGGATGATGTGAAGAAAGGAAAAAGTATAGGGTACATCCACAAAGCTGGGTCCTAGTGGAATTACTAGCTACCAATTCGTGAGCATTTTCTACATGCCAGGTACTGTACTAAGTACTCTACATACGTTATCCTTGAGTCAGAAATTATTCCTTCACAGAGCAAAAGAAGCTCATAGCAGTTATATAAATAAGTGGTCCCCCCACTCCACTGCCAAATAGTTCATAATGTCATCAATCCAATGATGTTATTTTTTGGATGGAGAAATTGAGACCCCAGAGGGTTATATACTGACATTGTACAGCCAGTAAGGAAGACACTGGGCCTGGAATCTAGATCTCTTTACTCTCAAGATAGAAACCTCTACATGGCAAAACCCCAGGGCCACCATTCATTATGAAGTCTGTGTAAACAGTGCTTCTTGGAGCACAATGCCATCTATATGGACTACATTGTCAGTAGCAGCCCCTGAAGTTCTGCTAATTGGCCACCCTGGCTCAGCTCCATGATTATCTCCTCACCCCACTCAAAAAGGAAGTTCTGGATGGAATTGGAGACTATGATTCTAAGCGAAGTAACTCAGGAATGGAAAACCAATCATGGTATGTTCTCACTCATTAGTGGGAGCTAAACTATGAGGATGCAAAGGCATAAGAACAATACAGTGGACTTTGGGGACTGGGGAAAAGGAGGGAGGGGGTGAGGGATAAAAGACTACAAATCGGGTTCAGTGTATACTGCTTGGGTGATGGGTGCACCAAATTCTCACAAATCACCACTAAAGAATTTCTCATGTAACCAAATACCACCTGTTTCCCAAAAGCCCAATGGAAATAATTTTAAAAAGGAAGTTCTTGAGACCAGAACATCAGGTCGCTAGAGGCTGAACACTGCCCTCCTTGCCAACTATTCCATCCAGAGTCTCCTCCAAGGTGACTGACTCCATCCCTTCACCATCCGTCTACGCTTGTACTCCTTCAACACACCTCTCGGGGCACCCTCTCTGCACCAGGCATCAGGCTCAGCTCTGGGGACAGCCAGCTGCCCTTGAGGGAGCCTTGTGCTGAGACACCACCCGAACCTGGGGTGACTGTAACTCAAGCTTCCCCAGAAGCTTTGTCAGCGGCACCAAGAGGCTGCCCTTAACAAGCCCCAAGGAGAAAGAGGTGGGGACCTCTGCAAAGAGATGACGAAAGGGGCCTGCTTGAAGTAGAAGACCTGGGCCCTTAAAGGGGAGGGAAGGGTGACTGGGAGGGCATGCAGTCAGGACACAGTAGAAAAGAGGACAAACCCTGGGATGCCACATCACCTAGTCCAACTGAGGATACTCAGGCTCAGTGTGTCCTGGGTGGATCAGCACTAACACCTGGGAATGTGATCTCAGGTCTAGGGCTTCTTCATTCTCCCAAAAGGAATCCCAAATCCGGAGTGTTTGAGTGTTTGCATAAGAGACATGAGAGCTCTCCTTTGAGATTGAATGAAGCAAATTCAAGCCTCCTCCCCTCTCCGCTCCCCCACTTTTTTTTTTGTGGCACAGTAAGGATGGTAGAAAATGAATGGCACCTGCCTCTCCAAGTGGGGCAGGGCTGGAATTAGACTTTTGTGGTACACTCAGGGGAATTTTGGGGTTCTGGGGCTTCAATGGGGGTAGGATCTAGTTCTGTAGGAGGGGCCATGAGTATGAAACCCAGGGACCCTAGATTCTAATGCAAGCTTTACCATTAACTCTCAGGTGACCTTGGTCAAGCCACCTTACTGGGCCTCAGTTTCCCTATCTGTAAAATGAGGGATTTGAATAAGTTCCCAAGATTCGTTTCGCCCTGACCTTCTAAGCCCTGTGATCCTTGGTAAGGCAAGCCCTCCCAACGCTCTGACCCGGGCAATCTCTGGTTTTGCAGGAGCCTGCGCCTCATCCAGAAACAAGCGGCATGCTGGGGGAAGGGAGCGCGCTAAGCTTTTATTCTGGGGGAGGGTGGGACGCGGGAGGCTAAAGCTAAAGGGTCTGTGGAGGCAAAGCGATGGGAAGGCTGGGAGCTGCGGTTTAGAGACCAGCAGGCTAGCGGCGATGTCCAACCTCCCTCAGGGGCTTCAGGCTCTGGAGAGGCGATGCAGCCCAGAGCCGCGCACCAGCCTCCGCCGGCCGCAGAGGCTCAGACCCCAAACCACTATCCCAATTCCTCCCCAGAACCGTACACCAGCTTCGTGGGGAGTGGCTGCTGCTCCATCCCGTTTACCAAGCGCCGAGCCCCCTCCTCTGCTTGGGGGACCCCTCCCCCAATCTGGGGGCGCCCGGAGCCCCACGGGGGCGTGGCGGGGGCGGGCGCCGGCTCCTCGGCCCGGAGGGCTGGAGAAGGTGTCAGCTGCTGGGCCGTCTCAGGAGGGACCCGCGCCCTCCACCTTCCGGCTCCGCACACAAAGGCGCAGACCGAGGCGCCGCACTTACCTGCCAGAGCAGGCTCCGGGCGCAGATGAGCGGGCGGGCAGGCTGGCGGGAGGATGTGCGCGCGCGAGTGTGCGTGTGTCTGCGTGTGTCCCTGCCTGTGTCTGTGCCAGTGTGTGTGCGACGGGGGCCGCGCCGAGCTCAGTGCGTCTGCGTGTGCGGGGGCGTCCGTCCTTCGGTCCGTCCGCCCGGCGCTCAGTCCCGCGCTCCGTGCGCGCTCCCTTGCCCGACCGCCTCACCAAATGCGCTTCAGCTGCGGAGTCGCCGGCGCAGCCGCCGGGTGGATTTGGCACCCCCCAGCCCGGGTTCCGCCCCGCCCCCGGGCGGGCTTGCGCCGCTCCCCGGGAATTGCGCAGGGCTGGCGGGGCTGGCGGGGCTGGCGGGGCGGCGAACCAGGAGATCCGGCTGCTCCCGGGCCCGAAGGGGGCCGGATCCCAGACCCTTAACCCCTGACCCGATCTCAGGTGCCTCCTTTTTCCGAGCAACTCTGCGCGGAGTCCCCGCAGGCGGCTCCCCCACGCCAAGGTTGCCTGGACAGGGAGGGCGGAGGAGTGGGAGTCCCGCATCCATTTCATTCATGATTTTTCTCCTCTGGGGAGCACCGGGTGGGGCTGCGCGGCTACGGCGACAGCCAGAGGGACCCCAGCAGGGCCATGCGCGCTGAACCTGGGACGGGACAGACAGGCAGACAGAGGAGTAGGGGCCAGCGAGACAAAGGGGGCAGAGTTGGGGGGATCGGCTCACTGGGGGCATGCTGTGGCTCACCCCGCGTGATACTAACACCTGCAGCGGAGCGGCCGCATACCAGGGCGCACAAAATGCGGGTGCCCAGGACCGGTTCTAGGACTCTGAGGAGGCGTCCCTCTTCCTAATTCTCCCTGTTCAGCCTCTGGGGAGCAAGAGTGAGTGGACAGCCCCTCCCTCGACGGATTCTTGTTCTCCTGACGTGCGGCGCGGGGCACGCACCTGTCTTAGTTTTCTCGTGGGCACCGGGGACACGGACGCGCAGGTAGCTGCCCATGAGCCCCACAATCCCACACAATCTCCCCACAATCCCCCCACAATCCCGTATTCTCCATGCTGCTACCGCGCTGGCCGGAGGTTCCTGACTTTCCATCCCCATGGGGGCGGGCTTGAGGCTGCGGGTTGCACACAGGGCAGGGATCCTAAAGTCCATTTTTACACGGGGAATCAGAGGCGAGTCACCACAAAGCTACCACCCTGGTTCCAGCCACCATCCTCCCCCTCCTCTGGGATTTCCATAATTGCCTCTTTACTGGTCTCCCAGCTTCCACCCTTGGCCCCTTGCAGCTTGTTCTCTACATAGCAGTCAGAGCGATCCTCTAAGTCAGAGCACGTCCTTTCTTTACTGGAAATCCTACACTAGCACTCCATTTCATCCAAAGGAAAGCTAAAGGCCTATCACGACCTGCAAGGCCCTTCAGGAGCTGGCTCCCTTTTAACTCTAACTCCTCTTTCTACCACCATCTCCCTTCTCCCACGCTACAGTAACACTGGCCTTTTAAATGCATAACCGACCTGGCAGCCCTGTGGCCTCAGGACCTTTGCACTGCTGGTCTGTCTGCCTGGAAACTCTTCCCCCTGATAGTCACATGGTTACTCCTTTACCTCTTCAATGTGTCATTTCTTCTTCTTCTTTCTTCTTCTTTTTTTCTTCTCGGATGGAGTGTTGCTCCGTTGCCCAGGCTGGAGTGCAATGGTGCCACCTTGGCTCACTGAAACCTCTGCCTCCCGGGTTCAAGCGATTCTCCTGTGTCAGCCTCCCGAGTAGCTGGGATTACAGGTGCCCACCTCCATGCCCAGCTAATTTTTGTATTTTTAGTAGAGATGGGGTTTCACCATGTTGGCCAGGCTGGTCTCGAACTCCTGACCTGGATCTGCCCTGATCTGCCCACCTCAGCCTCTCAAAGTGCTGGGATTAGAGGCATGAGCCACCACGCCCAGCCTCAACGTGTCACTTCTAAGAGACGTGCTGTGACTATTCTGTTTAAAGTTGCTGGCCCTCCCTCCTCATTTTCTCCATGGCAGCTATGACTTTTATTTCTCTTCCCTGCCCCTGAGGCTCACTGGCCTCATTGCCAGCTCCCACCTCAGTCCCCTTCCATTCCAGTCCTTCAGCCTCACCTTGCAACTCTTTTCTTTCAACAAACCCTGCGTTTTCCCATCTCTAGGCCTTTGTTCACATTGTCTGTTCAGTCTGAAATGCCATCCTTCCATGTCTTGACTAATTTTTAGGTCCAGCTTAAATATCACCTGCTTCTCCCGATATTCTCAGGGACACTCAGCCCTCATTACTTTCTGTCTACTGTGATAGTGGTTCCTTGTCTTTTTCCCCAGGTGCACTTTGAACTCCTGGAAAGTCGAGCGGGGTGTCTTCCTTCTCCCCAGTTCCCAGTACAGAAGGGCCCATCGGTACATGTTTGTGGATCAAGGGCACTGATCGGGAGGCCCTAGGCTGGGCCTTGATTGGTCTTTTTTTTTATTTTTCCCCTGGGAAAATGCCTAGAGCCCTAGACCCAACTAGGTCCCTGTGTGGCCCTCAAGGAGTTTCCGGTGGAATGAGGAAGGATTATATGTTGTGCAAAAAGGCCATACTGCTTGGGTTGTATGGAAGTGTGTGTAGTTACATCAGCCTGTGTGCCGGGACCTGCTCCCCACCCCCAAAGTATTATCACCATGGTTCAGCATGAGTCTGATTTCTCCAGGCTGCATCAATGTAACAATAGCAGCTACTATACATGGGCACTTTAGTATGTGCCAGGTACTGTTCTGTGTTTTCTCAAGGCACTGCTCTATTGAATCTTTATGGCATCTGTGGGAGGTGGGCCTTTTGACGTTCCCAATTTCAGAAGAGGAAGCAGAAGCATAAGTCAGTTTCATATGATCACTTAAGAGGTGAGTGTTTCAAATTCAGATCTAACCAGTTCCATAGCCCATGGTCACAGAAGCAGGGGTGCTTTAACATAAAAGCCCTTTGGGCTGATGGAAAGAAGGAGAGGAAGTAAGGCTTAGAGAGCTTCAGCAGCATCAGCCTGGCACAGGCTCTTGATGTCCCCAGCTCAGGGGTCACAGAGTCATGGAACTCTAGTGGTCTGGGACCTCACAGCTTCCTGTCAGTGTTGCCTCTGATGTCCTGTGGTGGAGGTTAATGGCTGCCCCTGCCCATTGTAAAGGCAACTTTGGAAAGCTAGAGCTACCTTGTAAACATTCCTGGCTATGTGCTCTGGGTTCAAAGCCCATCCCCAGCTGTCACATGTGTATAATAATGCCCATCTCAAAGGGCTATGGCAAGGAAGAAGTGTGACAATACCTCTAGAAAGTAGCAGGACAACAACAACAAAAATCTTTCTCCTTTTGTTTCTTGTATTGCGTTTCCATCAGATAGGGGAAAAACTAGTCTCCTCACCCTGTTTCCACCCTATACACCCTCTTATTGAAGAGCGTTACCCCAGGTTGCAGTTCAGGAAGGAAATCTCACATTTATCGAGGGCTTTAAAAATCAGCTATCCACATTGCTTCCCTGCATTTTTTCCTTTGATCTGCCAAAGAACCTTAGAAGGGACTACTATTACCAAGGAGGAAGAGGAGGCACAGAAAGGTCCAGGGGCCTTCCCAAGGTCACAGAGCTCACTAAACAAGATTCTAGCGTATGTCTGACTCTGTTCACTTAGCCAATACCCTGTCAATCCATGGAAAGTGACCTCTTTGATTTCCTTTCTCTTCTCTGATGAGGAAGAAGAGTTCTATGAGGCCCACGACAATGAAATAGTTGTGAGGTTGTGATGACTTAGGAGGCTTCTTGGGTTATTTTGTGTGACTCATTTACCATCTCTTGATGGAGGGAAGTAGAGGGATTTAAGAAAGAGGAGATGGGGAGAAAAAGATGATCTGAGAAGCTAGAGAATGTTTTACTGGTGGTTCTTGATGGACCGTTAGAGATTAGAGTCCATCCTTCCTGCTTTGGCCTCACTTGCAATTCACTGTCTTGGTAATGAAATGCTTTGCTTCAGTGAAAATGTCCCCTATCCAGATTTTTATTTATTTGCTTACTTATTTATAACTTACTGCAATCCACAAAGGATTTGAAGCAGCTCACCACAGGAGCAGGATTCATAAAACAATGTTAAAATATCAATGAAGATAAAGAATCAGGACCAAGGAAAATGTAAATAAACATTGAGTGACACGACCAAGGCTCAATAATCACAGCTGGTTTTTATCGAGTTTATTTCTGTGTGCAAAGGAATTTGCGTACATTATTTAATTTAACCCTTCAAAGAGCCATGTGAGATAAGTACTATCATTGCCTTCATCTTGAAGCACAGGAAGGCCTTTCTCTGAGTCTCAGAGAAATGAAATATGATGCCCTAAGTCATGGAGCTGGTAAGTGATAGAGGCAGTATTTGAATCCAGGTTGACAGTGAAACCGATGCCCTTAACCACTGTCCTATCCTGCCTCTCCAAGGGACACAGGACTACAAATACACAGACCACAGGGGCCTCTGGAGTACTGTGCTTGAACCTCAAATTTGGTTCTGATCATCTTGGGTTGCCGAGAAGAAACAATCTGCTCCATAGAAAGAACACCCTTATATCCTTCAAGGTTTTGCTCCAGTGTCATTTTCTCAGGGAGGCCTCCCCTGACCTCTCTGCCTAATACGTCATAGCCTTCCTCTGCCTGCTCCCTTCAGGAGTCCCAGTCTCTCCTTATCTTTTCTTTTATAATGACACATTTTACCTTCTAAAGTACTGGATAAATTCTTTATAAACTATGTTATATGAAATTAACTCCAGATGGATTAAAGACTTAAACATAAGACCGAACATCATAAAAACCCTAGAAGAAAACCTAGGCAAAACCATTCAGGACATAGGCATTGGCAAGGACTTCATGACTAAAACACCAAAAGCATTGGCAACAAAAGCCAAAATAGATAAATGGGATCTAATTAAACTCCACAGCTTCTGCACAGCAAAAGAAACAATCATTAGAGTGAACTGGCAACCAACAGAACGGGAAAATTTTTTTGCATTTTCTACCCATCTGACAGAGGACTAATATCCAGAATCTACAAAGAACTAAAACAGATTTACAAGAAAACAAACAAACAAACCCATCCAAAAGTGGGAGAAGGATATGAACAGACACTTCAAAAAAAGACATATATAAGGCCAACAAAATATGAAAAAATGCTCATAATCACTGTTAGAGAAATGCAAATCAAAACCACACTGAGATACCGCCTCACACCAGTTAGAATGGCGATCAT